AGACGTGCCATCTCTGAAAACGTTTGGGAAAACCATCTGTAAATTTTGGATTTTGGGAGCCAGCGTAATGCGATTCAACCTCACAAGAGCAACGGGTAACACGTGTCACCCCCGAAATCAAAAAACGGCTTGTAAATTTGTCATCCTGGGGACCAACATAATTAAGGACATTCAACCTCGAGAAAGACAGCGGATGACACGTGTCACCCCCGAGGCCGTGTGAGAGAAACGGCATGTAAACTTAGGATTCTGGGAGCCAACATAAGGCCATTCAGCCTCACAAAAGCAACGGGTAACGCGTGTCATCACCAACACCGCGTGAGAAAAACCAATTGTTATTGTGGGATTCTCGGAGCCAATATATCAAGCCATTCAGCCTCACAAAAACAACTGGTGACACGTGCCTCCACCGAGACCGTCTGAGAAAAAAGTGTAAATTTGGGAGTCTGGGAGCCAACATAAGGCCAATCATAGATACTGCCAACAGCGGACGACACTCATCACCCCCGAAACCGTGAGAGAATAACCAATGCCCAGGCAAGGGTGGCGGTTGGTGCGCGGCTTGTCGATAGGCTTCGGCGATGCAACATCGGCGGCCTGCGTGCTTGGGCCTGGCATGATCTGGGCCCCATGCGCCACCCAAGAAGCCGCACACCCAGAGGTCACCCTGGCGAAGGGTCGCTCTCGCTCTAGGGCCGATACGGGGGGGGGGGCGTCCGGGCACACACGGGGAGCTTCGCGATAGACCCGGACGTTGGCGCACAGGAGGAGGGGAAGGAGGAGGAGGAGGAGGAGGAGGCCGATATCTAGGGAGGAGGAGGAGGAGGAGGAGGAGGAGGAGGAGGAGGAGGAGGGGAGGAGGAGGAGAGGAGAGGAGGGAGGAGGAGGAGGAGGAGGAGGAGGAGGAGGAGGAGGAGGAGGAGGAGGGGAGTCCAGGCCTCGCACACGGGCACTTCGCCATAGGCCCGGACGCTGGCGCACCTGGAGAAAACTAACTGCACCCATGGGCCGCCGCATTATCCATCGTGTGTTTGCTCCAAGGCTGGGAGTTGCAGAATCACGGGTTCCTGGTATATCCGGGGTCCCGAGGGCAGGAGCGGTCGGCATCGAGTCGGGAAATCGATTCGGATCGGGCTGCAAATCGGCACGGCGTCGGAATCGAATCGTATCGGTCGCGCCAGGATGCACAAAAAGCGCCGTGCGAGCATCGGGCCGCATCGGATCGTAGAAACAACGGAATCGAATCAGATAGAGCTGGCCAACATCGAGATTGAATCGGGTCGATCGGATCGGCATGGAATCCGGAATGAATCGGAGGTTGCCAGAGGTGATCCGGCATAGGGTGGCTCCCAGATGTTCGCGCCTCGTCGAGCTGCTGTTCGACTCGATCTCGAGATGCGGAGCAGCTCCACAGCCCTGAGGCATACCATTGGCCTGGCCAGCGTCGCAAGGCCCAGGCCTGCATCTCCGAGGCTTTGGCATCGCTCAGAAGGCCCTCGGGGCCTCGCGAGGGCGGCTTCGGAGGCCGCCTGGGCCTCCCGGGACGAGCTGGGGCCACCATGGGACGAGGCCACCTCTGGCAACACCGAAGGCTAAGTCGGGCGCGTCCCTCTGCAGGAATCTTCGGAAGTATATATAGTCAAAAAATATCAAAAAATAGTCTGGGAACGATTTGTCAATATGTTTCACCATTTGGGATATTTTTCAGACTATGTTTCTTTCTCGTCCCAAATCCCCCTGTAGGAGGACACGCCCGACCTAAACCGAAGGGGAACGACAAAGGGCGGGAGCCGTTGCCCGCTCGGGGTGGGGCCCGCGGGTCTCGCCCTTCCCCGTCTTCTCTTCAGCCTGCGTTGTGCATTGCAAGGCTGTTTGTTGTTCGTTTTGCTCTACCTGCCTTCCTGTACCTCCCTCCCAAAACGAAAAACAGAACACGGCCGAAGTCCAGTTCCCGCGGTAACCCGCGGGTGCCTGACGCTTCAGACGCCAGTTGATGCCCCTGCAGCCTGCGCAAGACAGGGTGGCGGGACCGACCGGCTCAGGGGGGCGGGGATGTGCCCGGACAGGGTACCTCGCCGAGGGATCGGCGGAGCCGCCTTCGCTGCACGGTGAGGGCCTTGGGCAAGGAACCGCTGGAGAAGGACGCCATGGTCTGGAACTCCGATCGTGGTTCCGCCGTGGATACCGCCGCCCTGACTGTTCAGAAGGGCCCCCCGGGGCCTGAAGCTCCTGGGCGCCTTCCTGCACGAACGCCCCCGCCGCAGGCCGACGGCGAAGCCGACTCAAAACCACCCCCTGCTGAGCGGGGTGGGGGGCCCAGGCCTCGGGTGGGGGGGGTGGCGGGCCCCGATGAATGAGCGATTTGGAATCGACGCTTCATGACGCTTCCGCCCCCCCCCTGGGGAGCCCACAGAAGGACGTACGCGCCCCACCATGGGTGGGTGAGGGCCCAGGACCCGATGAACGGGCGATTTGGAATCGACGCTTCTGCTCTCCTCCCCACCCGGGGAGCCCACAAAGCACGCACGCACCCCACCATGGGCGGGGGCTCCGGCCCCGATGAGTGGGCGACTTGGAATCGACGCTTCCGCGCCCCCCCTCCCCCCCCCTGGGGAGCCCACACAAGACGTACGCGCCCAACCATGTATATGAGCACGGTCCCTCGATCCGCGAGACTGGCCGCGTGATGCGAACATTCGCGCAATGTGTACTCTCGGAACCAGCCTGGATTCGCATACGTCTACGTCCTTCTTTCGCTCCTGACCCCCTTCCGCCCTTCCCCCTCCCTTGTCGTCATCGCCCCGTGAGCACGTACTTTACGCAAAAAGCATGGCGCTGGCGCACCCAGGTAACGCTGCGGCCTTGGGTCGAAGCAGTCCTCCAAATCTCCCCTCTCTGACATGGAATCTTCAAAAAACCTCGCTCGCAATGTCCTGGCTCCCGAGGCCCTGATGCCGTGTGCTCCCGGAGGGGGCCTTGTCCGATGCTCGCAGTTGGGGGGCAGTACACGTGGGTCGGAAGAGGTCTGTAAAAGCATGGAGCAGGAAAGCGGATCAAGCAGATTGGAGTCGGGCCCGCCCATCGAATAACAGAGCACAGCACAAGCATATCGAATCTTGAAGTAGGAAAACGCTCGAGGTAGAATGGGATCCGGGAATCCAGAAATACCTACCGTCAACGACCGACGGGTAAACCTGGGGCGAAGAAGCGCGCGCCCTTCGCGCACGTTTCGGGCCCGCGGTGGCAGTCTGGGAGCCCTGTCGGGCCCCTCTGGGGCCACTTGCCTGCAATCCTCGACCCCCCCCGAACGTTCAGTGCCTCTACGCGTCCAAGGAAAAGGGGCGTCCAAGAGGGGGGTTCGCAAACCATGGCCCGAGGCATGAGCGCGGCCCAGGGGAGAGGGGTGGGGCAGGGAACGTATTGAAATACGAACAGGCGCCATGATATCCTCGGCTTAGAGGTCTCCTAGATGGGTGGCGAGTAGATGGGGCCGGAGGAATTCGCCGCATCGCCGATGCGTCAGCGACGTTGGCGATGCATCGGCGCCATCGGCGTGGGTAAAATCGGGCTTCACGTCGAGCCGCCTCGGCGATGCATCGGCGATCCTCCGACCACACCTGGGAGGCCTGGCGCTTGGTGTCAAGATAAAAACGGCGACGACGGCGGCCACCGGTACCAGAACACCTCGTGAACCGAAGCGGCGACGGCGATACTCTCATCGAGCACCCGGGGGGGAGACATCCCCATTGACCCGAGTGCTGTGCCCTCCCCCCGCTGCCGTTCGCCCGGCGGCCCCCGGGCCCCCGCCCGGTCGCCGCGATGGCGTACGTGGCGTACGTCTGGCCCTGGCGGGCGCAGCCGCGCGGCGCGAGGCGCCGCGCGGCCTATCTGCGGGGCACGGGCAGGGGCAGCGGCCGAGCCCCGTGCGGGCGCACGAGGGGGGGGGAAGGGAGGCGCTGGTTTCTGACACCGCGTGGCTCGCTCAACCCTTGGAGCGATCGGGGCTCCCCAGAAGCGCAGCTAGTTCCAAGCTGGACGAATGACCGCGGCTGGGGTGAGCATCGGGTGGGGCCGCGGGCACAGCCCCTTCAGCGGCACCTCCCGCGCAGTGATGGCTGGGGGGACAGCTCACCACCTGCCGAGGGACTGGTGCCCACCTCCCGCTCAGGGATGCCTGGGGGAGGGCGGGACCGGAACGGAGTGGGCGTGCGCTGAACGCGGGGTCGGGGCCCCAATGAGGACAGCGCGGCGACCGACGTCGGACCCCTCCTCCTCGGTGGAGTCCTTGTCGCCTCGCTGCTCGAGAGTGCGCTGGTCGAGTGCAGGAGGGGCGGGCGGGAGGCGGAGCGATGGGGGTGGAACGAGGGGAGGAACGAGGGGAAGGAACGAAGGGGGGGGGGGGGGAACGAGAGGGGGGGTGAGACGAAGGGGGGAAACGGGGAAAGAGGAAAGAGGGGAGCAACGAGGGGGGCGAGAGGGAACGAGCGAACGAACAAGCCTGAGATCTCCGCTGGGCGGCCCAGGTGCGAGCATTCGCTTCGCGGGCATACTCGCACTGAGGATCTGGCTGAGATTGCGTGGGACATCTAGCACTTCGCATCGAGGGCCCGACGTCGCCATCGAGCGACCAGACACCACCGCACCCCGCCAACGCGCAGAGAGCCCTTGGGGAGGGGGCGGGCGAAGAGGAGGATCTTGTTGGTTGGAGGGAGAGGCCAGCAATCGTGAACCCGCTAGCCCAAGGAACGAAGGGACTGCTCCCACTGGGCCTCCACCTCAAGCTGCTGGACACGCTTGTAGGCGGCTCGCTCGGTCCACCGAGCACGATCGATGGCATCGAGCCCGAAAGATGGGGAGCACGAGCGGTAGCATAGGAGAGGGAGCGGCAGAGGAGGAGGAGGAAGAGGAGGAGGAGGAGGAGGAGGAGGAGGAGGAGGAGGAGGAGGAGGAGGAGGAGGATGAGTAGAGACAAGCAGGGGGAGGAGGACGTGACAAGGTAATTCGATGGAGACAAAGGGCGGGCGAAAGAGGCTGCTTGTCTCGTTCAGGGCGGCGCTCTCACTTCTCCCCATGCGACCACCCTCACAAAGTCTCCCCCATCGCAGCGCTCCTGATCAAGAGAAGGCACCTGGGACAGCAGCGCATGGCAACACTATCTGCATCAGGGATTCTCAGCGACGCCACGCGGAGCCTTCCTGCCCAGAAGCGCTCGAACTCAAAAGCAATGTCATTTCTTCTTCGCTGGCGGCGCCTTGGCCAGGGCGGAGAGGGCGGCCATCTTCGCCTGGGCTTTGGCCTTGGCTGCTGCCTCCTTCTTCGACGGGCCCTTATTCAAGTGGGCATAGGGGTCGCCAGTGGGGCCAGAACCTGTGGCAGCCTCCTCGGCAGCCGCCAATCGCCTTGCCTCCTCCTTCCTGGCGGCCTTTTCAGCGTCGGCCTCCGCACTCTGAGCCTGCTTCGCGCCCCCCCCTTTGTTTGCCGCCTCGGCGGCGGTCCACTGCTTCTCCCGGATGGCCTCCTTCTTCTGGAAATTTGCTTCCGCCACCTCCTTTCTTGCCTCCTTGGCCTGGGCAAGGGATTCTTCGCGGCCCATCGCTTCCTCTGGATGCTCCGCGATTGCAGCGAAGAGCTGGGGAGAAACACTGGACGAATTGGGCCAGAATGGCTATGGAGCAATTTGGGCAGTGGTGTGGGGCATGCAACAGAGAGAGCGAAGGGAGGCAGGGAGAGAAAAAAGGGAGGAGAGATGGGAAAAGGAACGAGAGCAAGATCAATCAACATCGAATCGAGAAATCGGATCGGATCGGAGCGCGCGTCCGATCGAGCTGCATCGGCACGGGGCCGCATCCGAATCGAATCGGCTGCGCGGGGATGCGTCCCGCAAGCATCGGGGCGCACCGGACCGCTGAACACCGAAATCGGCATCGAATCAGATCGACTGGCTCGAAATGGACCCCAGTGGGGGGAGGCGGGGCAGAAAGCGTTCTATGGTGGGCAGTGCACGGGAGGGGGGAAGAGAGGTGCGCCTTTCCTGCACCTTAGTGGCCTCAGAGGGGCCCTTTAGGCGCCTCTTCTGGCAGCCCTCGGCTCCGCCGTGGTGATCTTGTGCACGGCGTGGCCCAGAGCGGGCTCTTCCTTCCAGACCGTTTCCTGACGGCCCCTGGGCCCGGCGAGAGCCCCCTGGGCCCGTTGAGAGAGGCCCGTCGAGTCGTGATTCTCGCCGTCGCTCGGACGTCCCTTCCCCGTGCATGTTGCTCTGCCTCGTGCGTATTAGTTTGTTTTCTGCTAGATGACCCAACATGCTCCTCGACGGTCCTTCCGAGAAACAACGCACGTCCGAGCCATGCCAAGGACTTGCTTGGCGGCGCGCAAAGGGGGGAAGGGGAGAGGCGGGAAGGCTTCTTAGAAGGGGGCTGCTTCTTGGAAGGCGCCGGCCCTACATCTACACAGATGGCCCGCGCCTATTCAGAAGCAGCCCGCGCCTATTGAGAAGCAGGGGTGCTTCTAAGAAGCCGTCCCCCCTCCCCCTGCCCCCCTCCGCGCGTGGCCGACTCGCAGCGACGCGAGGAGGTCCGCGTCCTCGCCCACGGCCAAGGGGGGGGGAGGGGGAGGAGGAGGAGGAGGAGGAGGAGGAGGAGGAGGAGGAGGAGGAGGAGGAGGAGGAGGAGGAGGAAGCGAGGGGGAGGGGGGGGGGGACGGTGAGGAGGAGGAAGACTGACTGACTGACTGATGAATCGGACCCAACGTGTCGTCACGACCTTGCAGCTACACTACCTTGCAGAGTGTACTATATCAATCTGACATCTGGGTCTATCTGGGAAGCCCCATCACTCGCACAGGTGCGCAAGCGTCACAAAATACGCATTGGCCCTGCAGGCAGGCCACTCCCGCACTCGGTCAGGCTGGCCGCCTGCGGGCACTGGAGGAGGAAGAGGAGGAGGAGGAGGAGGAGGAAGAGGAGGAGGAGGAAGAGGAGGAGGTGGAGGAGGAGGAGGAGGAGGAGGAGGAGATCCGGGCCATCGCCCACGGCCCAAGGGGGGGGGGGGGGGGGGGGGGGGGGGGGGGGGGGCGCGGGGCAACAGCAGAGCCGGACGGGCGCGGGGCCCCGTCTGGCATGGCCGAGTTCTGCCTGCCCATGCTCGCCAGGACGAGCACCTGCTGTGATGGGCCACTGTTCCACCGCCACCACCACAGGCAGGACGGGGGAGGAGGAAGGATTGGGAGGTCCTCCTCCTCCTCTTCCTCCACATCCTCCTCCTCTTCCTCCTCCCTCTCCTCCTCCTCCTCCTCCTCCTCCTCCTCCTCCTCCTCCTCCTCCTCCTCCTTTTCCTCCTCCTCCTCCTCCTCCTCCTCCTCCTCCTCCTCCTCCTCCTCTTCCTTGTACCTATGGCAGTGGTGGTGGAACGTCGGCCCAGCATGCTGGCCGCGAGCGCGACCGGCGACGGTCACCAGCCTCGAGCCAAGCCCCGGAGACTGCCACGACCGCGACCGCGAGCGGGCACTGCTGGTCGGGTTGGTCGCGACCGCGAGCGGGCTCCCGCGCGGCGTCGGAAAGGTCGTGCTACGAGCGAAGGCCGGAGGTCACAGCGCAACTGTCGCCGGCCAGACGCGGCCGAGGGTGGACGTGCGTGCAGTCCGCTTTTCGCGGCGTCCTCTTTCGGTTCGTCCTCTTTCGTGTCGTCCGCCTTGCGAAGCGGACGAGTCGACACGGACGAATCGAACAGGGCCCATCGAGGCGGACGAAATGAAACTCCGACGAAAATGGACAAAATCCCTCCAAGTGGCTCCAAGAGGCTCCGAAGATGCTCCCAAGAGGCCTCACGAGGCTCAAAGATCGTGCGAGCGAGCGTGCAACGGTGCAGTCGAATCGATAGCACCGCACACGCGAATGGAGACGGCGGGATGATGGACTGAGAAGCTGAACTACCCTCCTGCTAGAATGCTGCACCGCAGCGGCAGTGCAGAGGAAGAGCAGCAGCTGCGACAGTCACTGAGACTGCCTCAGCGCTCCACACCATGGGCAGGCAGCCATCCAACTGACGACCAAATGCCAACGATGCCTATGGGCCGGCGGGGTGAGCGAAGCGATTGAATGCTGCGGACTCGGCGTCCGCTAGCCGCCATTTTGGTCGCAACTCAAGCACGCCTTCGCACGGGAGACTTATGAACGCCTCCGGGCGCACTTTGGGACCTCTCAGGAAGCCCGCCTGGGCAATCTTTGGAGCCAATTGGGGCCCTCTTGGGCTCATTTGGTCCGTCCCCAGGGCCCTCCAGGGCCGTCCCGGACCACTCCGAAGCCCTTTTCGAATCATGTTGGGCCGAAAACCCGAAGATGACAAAAAAACACTCCAAACAGTTGAGATTTTAATGATTTGGGGCTTTTCGGCTTCGCTGTGCGCTTCTCGCAGCTCTCTTGGACTTTCCTGTGACACTCTTGGGGCTTCTCCAGCCACGCGGGAATATCTCCAAGGCCTCTCGGGCCGTCCTGAATGCCCCTCTCTGTTCCAGCTTGGGCCGTATAGCCGCCCTTTTGGTGCCCTCTTGGGCCGTCTCGGGCGCGCCCAGGGCGTCCCTGGAGGGCCTTCTGAAGCCCCCGTGGCCCTCTTCGGTTTCGTCCGCCGTTTTCGCTACCTTTGGGTGCCCTTTTCGGCCATTTTTCTTCGGAGCCTCTTCGGGCCCTCCTGGGGCCCTCTTGGACCATTTGTTTGCCTTCTGGGGGCCCTCTGGGGTCGTCCTGGATCCCCCTCTCGCCCTCTGTGCCTCCTTTTCCTCCAGCAGGCCTCCCGACGTCTCCACGTTCCCGGGGCGGCGGTGTCTGCCCCCCTGGGTGCGTTCAATTGAATAACCAGCCTCTATCTTGGAGGCCTCTTCGGCCGTCCTCTAGGCATCTAGGAGCTGTAGTGGACCGTCTGGCAACCCTCTTGGAGCCCGTTTGACGCGTATTGGTCGCCTCCGGGCCCGCCTGGAGGCCCGTCTGACGGGTCTAGATTCATATCACGATGCCCCTCTTGCCCCTCACTCTGCCTCTTGTGGTTTCCTCCGCCGCGTGGGCCAGCTTTTGATGTTCTTTCGAGCTGTTGTTGGGGCTTCTTGGGACAGTATTGGACGCATCCGTACGTGGCCCTCTCCTGCTTCAACCATGCTCCCTAAAGACTGTTCATAGTATTCCAGCAGGCTGTCACCTTAGTATTCGTCGAGGTCTTCGTCGTCGTCGCCGTCGTCGATCATGTCTTCGTGGTCGTCGGCGCCATCGTACAGCCAGCCCGTGTAAGAAGGACGCACGATAAGACGCAAGGGCCTTGGAAGGCCATGCCGACTTTTTGCGAGCGGTGCGCGGCCAGCGGAAGTGGTCAAGGATGGGCCGAAGGGGAAGGACCGTATCCGCCACCGTGACCCTGGCACGTTGAGGCGTGCTAGAATCCCAAGTGCTGTCTGGCAGGGTTTCTGTGATCTTCTCAAGGAACCCCCTCTCCCCGTCGCACCTCGTCGCGCGCAACGGCCATATTCCTGGGGGGTCCCTGGGCGGCCATGGCGCCTCCCTAGGGCTCTCCAAGGCTTCCATGACGACCCAGGAGGCCTCAAAGACGACCCAAGAAGGCCCCGAGTCGCCGAATGATTGCTCGAAGACACCCAAGATGGCGTCAAGATGGCGCAAGAGGCTTCCAAGACGCCCCAAGAGGCCTCCAACAGGTCTCCAAAGAGGGCACCCTAAAGCAAAAATCATTGCGTGTTTGAAGGGTTGTGGCGTTCTCGCCTTTTCCGCTTTCAGACGTTCCAAAACGGCCCAAGAGGCCCCCAAGACCACCCCAAAACGGCCCAAGAGGCCTCCAAGAGGGCCCCAAGACGGCCTAATAGCGCCCCAAGGCGGCCCAAGAGGCGCCCAAGACGGCCGGCCCCAAGAGGAACCCCAGAGAGGGAACACCGAACCGAAAATCCGAGCCTGCCGTCCCAAAGGGGCCCCCAGAAGGCCCTAAGAGGCGCCCAGGAGGCCCCCACGAGGCCCGACAACTGCCCCCAAGAAGCCCCCAAGAGGCCCGAAAACGGCCCCCAAGAGGCCTCAAACCTGCCTCCAGGAGCCCCCCGAGAGGTCTCTCCAACGAACATCCATCAGGCTTCTAACCCACAGCCCAAGCACGGTGGCGGGACTTGCCATAGGCAGCTGGATCCGCCGCCCCCTGCTTGCAGGGGTGCACGGCGTGCTGGACGTTTCAGGTTTTGGTTTTGGTTCTTTTTCCAAAAGAACTTCCTAGTGGGCTCCGGCAGAACCCGCCGGCCACCCGGAATTTCCCCAAACGTGCTCAACGACCGCAACAAATCCTCCAAGAACGGCCGTTTCGCTCGGGACATCCTCAAAAAATCGCGAAGATGGCCCAAGATGGCCTCCAAGTCCGCCCGAGATGGTCCAAGACGGCCTCCAAAACGGCCCAAGAGAGTCCAAGACGGCCCAAGACGGCCCAAGAGGCCCCCCAGAGGCCTCCCAGACGGCCCAAGAGGCCTCCAAGAGGTCCTCCAGGAGAGTCCGAAGAGGCCAAAATCATTGATTTTTCCTTGGTTTTTGAAGGATTCTGGCATTTGCGCCTTTTCGGCTCTCCGACGGCTCGAGACGGCCCAAGAAGCCCCCAAGATCGCCCAAGAGGCCCCCAAGAGAGCCCCATGATGGCCCAAGT